GGACACTCACAGTTGATTTTACACGTCACGAGCTAGTATTTTTTACTTTTTTTTTTTATTATTTAAAAAATTATATGATTATTTAAAAGATTTTTCTCACTTTATCCTCCAACCTGGATAAATCTTTTCTGTGCATATTTTTCTGCATATGCAATGCTACAGTAGCTTATAATTTGGCTAAAACTAGCATGAGAAAGTTACCTAACTTTGGGAACATCATTTCATATGCCTTAAAATTTGCCTCTTTATAGGCAGGTTTGTGTAACAGTGTGTAAGCTGATGTTATCTAGTATGTCACTCAAGAAAAAAAATGCAAAAACAAGTCTAGAGAGTGCATGCTTTTACCGCATTATGCAGAATGCAGTTAAAATTTCATAGATTATATTTGATTTTTAACAGCCCTATAGTGATAATTTATTGATTAAATATAAGGATTTGGCATAAAAGATGACGCATAAAATTAATGTTTAGAAGAAAAATGCCTTATTAAGGTAAAAATACCCCTGGAAATCAATTTACAGGGACAAATATTGCCCCATAATGGAAGATTTCTGTCAAGAATATGTCAGTTGTCCACTATAGGCCTAAATAACCACCCAAGATACTGTATCAGCACAAAAACACACCCCTCAAATGATCATCAAATAATCATTATCGACCAAATCCCAGAAAATAGAGATATCCTTTTTCATCAATATTGCACAGCCCTAGTGTGAGCAGATATCCACGATCATACTGTCAGCCCTAATCATCAGGGCTCGTTGGTGCGGCAAACGTGATGGCTTACAGTGTTGCCACACATGCACAGGCATGGAAGTCTGTGTTTGAAAACAGTGCTGAGTGGCTGTGCCAAAGAGACAGGCAGCCAAAGAGGACAGCTGTAGCCTGGAGTACTTACACATACTGAGATGTGTCTGGGCGACCGAATCCCGAATGGTGAAATCCAGGAAATATTTGTGCATCATGCGAAGACAGTCTCACACACATGCTTTCAAAGAGAAAGTCATCCTATAATTGATCACACACTGATGATTTCACCATCCTTTGCTGTAATTGCTTGGCTGGAGCGGAGGGAGGGGGATAGAAGATTATTTTATATGAAATATCGAAATAACAAATCCAGGGCTTGGGGTGGACATTAAGAAGAGGAATGTGAGCGAAAAGTCATCAGCTGGCCCGCGGCCCGGTATCCGTGGCTGAGGAAAAGCTTGCAGTCATCAGAAAGTGGATGTATTTACTGCTGCGCCTCTCGCAGTACGAAAGCGAGAGTGAAAAATGACTTTGTTTGTGAATCAGAGAGTAGCTAATCAGATCTCACTTTCATTCCATTGCTCACTATATATACTTTATATGAGAACCTCCCCCCTTTTCCCTCAGGCATTTGAGGACAGAGATGCACTTGTGACAGCCATTTGGATGTACACATTATCCTACGGAAATCTATTAAATGTTGATAGATAACAGATATAAAGGGTCTGTTGGGCCAAAATGTAAATTCTGTCATCATTTACTAACCTTAGTTCCAAACCCGTTTGACTTTGTTTCTTGCGAGGAACACTAAAGTAGTTATCTATCAGTATGCCTAAGCAGCTATTTTCCATACAATGAAATTAAAAGCTTAGTTCACCCCAAAATTTAAATTGTCCTCATATTCCAACCCCATAAGACCATATTCCAACCCCTTTCATCTTCCAAACACAAATGAAGATAATTTTAATGAAACATGACAGATGTCTGTCTATCCGTTACACCAAAACTTTCATGCTTCAAAAAGTTAATGAAGACATTGTAAAAGTAATCGTATTATAAAATGGTAAGATGCCTTCAGAAGAGACACTATCGTTTAATGTGATGGACAGATTTAACTTTCTTTCTTTATTCACATGTAAACATTGATCAACACACATACAGTACATATGACAGAACATACAACATATGACAGAAATCTCTCAGGTTTCATTAAAAATATCTTTATTTGTGTTTGAAAGATGAATGGAAGTCATATGGGTTTGGAATGACATGGGGTTGATTAATGACCATTTTCATTTTTGGGTGAACTAACCCATTAATGGTGACAAACGGCCGTTTAAGGGTTAAGAACAGATAATGGAAATAAATTTGTCCTTTGGAAGAAAGTAAGTCAAATGTGTTTGAAATGATGAGTGAGTAAATTATGACAGAACTTTCATTTGTGGGTGGACTATGCATTTAAGGTGTGTGTATGTATGCATATGAGCATGTTTGAGTTTGTGAGATGGTCTTCAATGAAAAAGTATGGAAAGTAGACATGGAAAAGTTTGTTTTTATCTGTGTACTTCGTATCATTATAAATCAAGCATATCTTCCCTTTTGTTTAAGGTCGAAGGTTATTCCAAAGCCACGTCTCTCACTATCACAGCTTGATTTGTGTGCTGATATACATTACTGGTCAAAATTTTTGGGATCAGTAAGACTTGTAATGTTTTTTAAAGAAGTCTCTTATGCTCATCAAGACTGGATTTATCTGATCAAAAACACAGAAAAAAACAGTAATCTTGTAAAATGTTATTACAATATAAAATGTGAATAAATAAAATGCAGCTTAAGTGTACTAATTTATTGACTGTTTCTAACACACTAATTATTTTTTTAAATAAGTGCACTAATTATGTCAAATTAAAACTTTAAAGTACATTTAAAATGTTTTAATAATCCTTTGTCAAAAAGTATACTTATTATTATGTGTTGGCTATAAGTACATGTAAAGTACTTCATTAGAATTTTTAATTACATTTAAAGTTAATACATTTTAAATAGACTAAACAGCAACCTCATTATAAATGTGTAGTTACAAATATATCTAAATACATGACATACAAGTTTCACTAGAAAAGACATTAAATTATATTTTAGTTTACCATAAATGCTTGTTAATATTTGGCAGTACCATATCAAAAAATAATAGAAGTACTTATGAAATATTGAAATAAAAAAAAAATAAAAAGATGTTCTAATTTAAAGGTGACGTATCATGAAAATCTGATTTTTAAAGGTTTTAAGTGCTATAATCAGGTCCCCAGTGCATCTACCAACCAAGGAAACGTGAAAAAGATTAACAAGCGTGTCTGATCTCGCTCCCCTAGTGACGTTGCAAAGGGATCTCATTATAATATTACCGCCCCTTAATCTGTAAGTTTCCACCTACTGCGCCATCATTTAGATTTCGCAAGCGACAACGGTGTACCAGTTCTAATGCCATGGCAAAAGTTTGAGCAAAACATGCTAACTGTTCTGTCTTTGGCTGCACAGACGAGCACAGAACACTATTTAGAGTCCCAGCCTCAGAGGAGACAAGAGAGCAGTGGATTTATTGATTTATTTACTGTATATTGCTGCTGCCACACAGATCTAAAAAAAACATGTGATTTATTTTCCAGCTGTTTACCTTCACAAGCATAACCGACTGTTTTTGTAACTCGTGTGTTTTTAACGTAAACTTGTGTGTGAATGAGAACTTAGTTTAGTACTCACATGCTGTGACAGCCGCTTTCTGTCCATGTGCTTCGGATGTGTGCTCTTAGAAAACCGTATATCAAAAGTTATATGGTTTAAAACGCATGATTTCAGCGCAATAAACA